GACTTGCAGTACCTCTGGACTTTCCGTTGTCCTGCTGCCCCTGGAACAAGGACGAGGGAAGGCAGCCACCTGCTCTCAGGGTTGTCTGGCTGAGATGTGGTAGAAAGAAACGACATTGAACTTCAGTCTCTGTGAACATTAAATAGGGGAGGTGATTTCTTCTTTGCACCATGTTTTCTCTTAGGAATTTGACAGTGGGAGGAGACCCACAGCTGTCAAGTTCGTCTGATCTCTCGAGCTGCTGGGAGTCTCACTAGATGCAAGACCCAGCACAAAGGGAGACAAGAGGAAAGGGAAGCAGCTCTGTCAACCTTGTCTGGGAGGCTGCCAGCTGGGGCTGAAGCCACCATCCACCTATGCCTGACATCAGGCATGTGGCTTTGTGGATGAGGGACAGACTTGGCAAAGGCCCACTCTGGATCACCTGGTGATGATGAGAGATGACTGTCACCAGTCATCCTGGTGACATGCTCTGAGGACCCCAAGCGGTCCCTCAGGTAGGTTGTTCCAAGGCCAAACTGTACATGGGGGTGGCGTTACAAATTGGGCCTTAAAACCAAAATTTATGTTCTCCCATCAGTTTAATCAGAGGACAGGTTAATAAAAGACAGTTACAACAAAACACCAAAAACCCCAACAACTCCTCCTCCTTCCCAGCCCATCCACCTCCCCCTCAGCCAGCGACTCAGCAGTGCTGATTGACTTTATTCTTTTCTTGCCAATCAATGCACCGCAAGGTGCAATTTCAATTCAACTGTGTGCAGACAAGCTGAGCCAGACAAAATAATACACGTAGCAAAAACAGGCAAAACTGTAATCTTTGGTGAAGTGTATGTAGACTGTCAAATAATAAAACAGAGTGACGGTCACAAATATCAAGATGGTGTTTTCTTTAGGAAAGGGCTTATGGCTTATGTGCTGGGGTGCTGGCAACACACCACATAACTAGGGTGATCAATTACCTGTTACTGTTCTCGAATCAGATTGGGTTTAGGTACTGGTTTATGTGTCACACACCTAATCAAAAACGGCAAACATGAGGGTGTGGCTGTGCACACCTGTAATCCCAGCTACTTGGGAACAGAGGCAGAAGGGTCTCGAGTTTCAGGCCAGCTCTGGCAAAAATGATGAGGCTGGGATGTGGCTCAGTAGTAGAGCACTTGTCTGGCATGTGTGAGGCCCCAGATTCCATCCCTAGCAATGAAAATAAAATTAAAAACGGCAAACATGCGAGCCAGCTTAAAAGGTACAATGTAAGCATGACTAGGGTCCCCACGACACTTATACGGAATAAACTATTCGGTAGTGTTAACCTATCCTTGAAGTCTTGAAATAGATCCCACTCAGCCCTGGGGTGTCTATTTGATAATTAGATTTTTTTTTGGAGACAGGGTCTTGCTATGTAGCCCAAGCTGGCCTTGAACTCTTGATGCACCTGCCTCAGCCTCCTGTGTGCTGGAATGATAGGCTTGGCCAACGTGCCAGCCTGCTGCTCCTGATTCTGTCACCAGTGCCTCAGCCTGGTTTTGCACCTTCACTCAGAGACAGGATCCCCTGTGTGCCACCAGGCCAGGTTTTATCTGTGTCATACTGACTCCATACAAGGGATGTAGCAGCTGTCCTTTCTGACTGGGAACCTGACTGAGTCAATGAGACGTGACCGCTGGGCACCTGCTCTTGCCCATGGCCTCCATCAGCCACCTTAGCATTCAGTGAGGTGGCATGAATGCCAGCACAGGAGGCAGCTGGAGTGTACTGGAGCAGGTGTCCCAGCAGCATGATGCACTTATCAAGATGCCACAGCGGCACCCGAGCACAGCCTGAAGCCGTTTTCAGGCTTCAGACCCTATTTCCTCAAAAGGATTAACTGAGGTCAAGAGTTGGATACAAAGGTTGCTTTTCAGCAGGACACCAGTGGCTCATGCCTGAGAGCACAGCTACTTTTGAGAGGCTGAGATGGGGAGGATCATGGTTTGAGGCCAGCCTGGGCAAATAGTTTGCAAGACCCCATCTCCAAAAAACAAACAAAACAAAAAACACAGCAAAATGGGCTGGAGGTGTGGCTCAAACGTTTGAATGCCTGCTGGTGGTGTAGCTCAGCTGTAGAGCACATGCTTTTAACAAGCTGCTCCTGGGCTCCATCCCGAGCGCCAAAGGCTTTTCTTCCTGCCTTGTCCTGTGTCAACTCCAACTCTCCTGGCCGGTGTTAGAATGCTGACGGGGGGTGACTCAACTCCCATGCCCAGTCTGTTTTGCTTTGCTACTTCCCGAGCCTTCCAATGTTCTAATCCTGCTGCCCACAGTGGCTTCCCCCAGGGCAGCTTCTCAAGTCGACTGACTAGAGAACACTAGGAACTAGTCTTGGAAGTACCTTCTCTGTTCGAGCACCCATTCTCAAGGACAGAGGCCTCTACTAGACAGATAAAAAGGTCTAGTTAGCATCCAGTTTGGGAGGTTCAAGAGGACAAACCTGGCCTTGGCTCAGCTGTTAGCCAAAGTATGTCGTGACAGAGGTGCAGGTGTGGAAGCACTTGCGTGTCCAAACAGGGAGTCAGGCTAAGGTCCCACAATTCCAAGAGCATGCTCCTAGTGACCCAAAGACTTTCCATTCAACCCCACCCCCAGCGCCACTCAGGTACAAAGGTTTCAATCACAGTGGGCCCTCATGTTCCAGACTACACTCAAGCCATAGTAAGGCCCTGGCTGGAATATTGAAAGCACTAACCAGGCATTTGCTACATCTAGCTCACACTTCTGCATGCACCATACCTTCAGCTGCCAAACCTCTGGAGCTAAGTAAACAGCCAAGGAGCCTGGCTGAGCGCTCAGAAAGCCTACTCAAGGGTGCTGGTCCTCTCATGAGTGAGGAAAGGTCCCAAAGTCAGGGATGTGGCCTGAAGCAGGCAGTCAAAGCCCCAGGGCTCACTACACCAGCCTCTACCTTTAAGGATGTTTGATCATTTCTAGAATAAAAGCTTAAAATGCTTTCTTGTATACAATGATGGCAAAACTGATGACAGCAAGCTAGAAAGTCCAACGGGGCAAAGTTCAAGATGGAGACTATGCTGATTACTATGTCTCTGGGAAATCTACCTAGACTGCAATTCAGCTGGGAGCTGCTGCTCTCAGCCATGTGGAGCTGTATTGGTGCAGCCACAGGAGGACCCTCTGTGACTCAGTGTACTGCAACTTGTGACACTATTGTTTCCTGTGCTTGGCACTGAGGCTTCTGGTTAAAGGAATCATTTCTAATTTTATTTTCTTCTGGTCAACAGGCAATCAGAGTCTCTAGACCTAGAGCTTAGCTCTCAGGACCAAGACCTGATCTATGCCTGAACTGAGAAGTGAGTGATCACTATGCAGACACTGCAGTGCCTTGCCACCAACCCCTTCTCCACTCAGTTCACACACAGGGAGTGAACGCTCTCCAACGAGCAGGGCAACAGGGGCCCACGCTCAAGGCTTCAGTAATTAAGATGATTTTTATCTACTACACTACTACACGCGCACACAAACAGCTGTGCTGTTGACTCAAAAGCAGCAAGCAAAAAACTGCTGTGAAGGAGCCCCAAACAACTGGGTGAGATACTTCAGCAGTTTTTACTTCGATTACAACCTGAATAAACATCACACAATATTCAGGATAAAAAACACTTATCTGGACCTGAATTCATTACAAACCAAGCTTATCGAGACTTTGATTTCTTTCTTGAGATCTGCTCCGACCTAGGACAAGTTAAGACCTATATGCTGCAGGTCATAGCATGGGCTTATTTTATTGGGCTACTTTTATCAACTTTGATCCAAGACCACTAAAAAACAGCAGTAACTGCTGTGGGGACATCTTTGGGCTGAGCCTAGGCCTGCATCCTTTTCCTCCAGACCTGCACCGAGGCAGAGGTGGGGGTGGAATCAGATTCCTGTTTTACTGAGAGCTGACCTTCAAGGTTTGAAGACACTTTTAAAGGCACTTACATTTACATACAGATTTTGGTTATGAGATAAGCAATGTCTGCCACCTTCCTTCCCTGATTCAGTGGAAGTGATTTATCTGTACAAGGTGGCTGTGCTTCTGACAACTGAAGTGCCTGCAATGGCACACCAGACTGCAGCTCCCCATCTCACCAAACGCTGTCACCGAGCCCCCACCATTGGCTGCCATGCTTGACTTCAACGTAGATCAGACGTAACAAAACCAATGTTCAACACTTTAGAAACACTTCACATAAAAACAGTCAGTCATCAAATACACTGGTCAAGTAGTTTCTTCCAAACATCTCCAAGTGTGTGGCAGCAGCCATAGCTCCTTCCTCCTACAGTAAGAGCAGGGTGCTGAGCAGATGGAAATGAGCAGACACCCTCTGGAGGAGGGCATGGGAAATCGTGTGGATGGCTGTACGATGAACACCTGGACACCCAGAAGTGACTATGGATGTCAACTGGGACAGTGTTTGGGTAGGCCTTGCAGCACTGTTTTAGGTATGACATGTTCAGGCCCATGTGTGGTATAGTGTGAACACTGAGCCAGCCATCAGCTGGCTGTCATGAACAGTGCACAGAAAGTCCTGGGTCACATGCAAATAGTTTAGGGTAAGTGACACCAGACAGAAAGTCTTAAAGGCAGCTCTGCTGAGTGGGCTTTGTGTTACCACTGGTGTTCACCAACACACTGATCAGTTACAATGCAATGTGAAACAAATACTGGCTGTCCTACTGCACCAAGCCCAGTCATGTTTTATGTACCTCCCATGCTTTAAAAACTTATCTCTGCTCTCAAAGCAAGCTCAGAAGACTCAAGACAAGAAAGGCAGCCCTGAGCAGGCCTACCTGCAGCACTGTGTGCACCAGGGAATGGGCTCTGGGTCATATGCACATTGGTTTGTGGCCCCAAGATTCCAGATGCTGGGATGGGAGGGGATGTATCCACACACCAACTTGCTGATGCTAGAGACCCCATAGGGTTCAGGCCAACCTCCAGAGAAATTCCGCATTCCTTGTTAATTATGCACGAAAAAAGACCTGACTTTTCCCTTATGAATCTTTCTTCACTTTGTATGTCTAAGTTTAAAAATACATTTTCAATTATACCCAAAGTGATAGCTGAATATTAATATTTACCTTAAGGACGCATGACTAGCAGGCTTATAAAGGAAATTTAAAATAAAGACTTTCCACAAGAATTAAGTTACACCAAGAATACTGTATCACTACAAATTTTATTCAGAAACCCATCTTTGTTTTTTTTTGTTGTTTTTTAAAAAAATTCCCATTATGAACTGGTTTGGTCAATAACTACAGCACTTTCTAGCAGACATACGGTAAAAACGACATGGCTCAGAATCGCCCAGATCTCTCCCGATCTCTTGACCGCCGCCTGTCTCGCTCCCGTCCCCCACCGCCTCCTCCGCCGCCACCACCACCGCGACCACGGTCTCTGGACCTAGAGCGCCGCTCCCGGGACCGAGACCTTGATCTATGCCTGGAATTAAAGACGTAAACATAGTAGACATTAATACCAAAACATGCGGCATAAAACCACAGTACCAATACTTCTAAACATTGCAATTCTCCAAACTGATGGCACCAATAAAGAAGGAAAATACAAAAACAAACAGCACTCGCCAAGTTGCAAGCCTTTACTGTGAGATGTACTAATTTCAGTGTTACTTTTCAGGGAAAAACTGTGCACCCTACAACTAAGTAAGTATGGTATCTTCCACCTTTTATGACTTCTAGACACAACATCACTTCCTATGATTTTCACAGGAAATCATAATAAAAACAAACTCAAGGGGCTGGGGATGAAGCTCAGTGGTAGACTTGGTACCACTTGCTTGTGTAGCATGTGTGAGGCCCTGGGTTCCATCCCTAGCACTGAAAATCCTCTCCTCGCCCCCCCCATATCAAAAATACTTCCTACAAACCAAACCAAACCAAAGTGAACTAGACAAGTATAGCTCTCACCCCTTCCCAACCATCCCCTCCCTGAGAAACCATTAGCTACTGAATCCATCAGACTGATTTGTGGGAAGGGAGGGAGATTTTTTCTCCTCTGCTTCTTGTTGATAATAAAAGCAGCTCGAAGAATCTATCTTCTGACACGTTTAACAGGATGGGGAGGAGAACCTGTCTAGGATAAGAACTCAGGAAACAAACGTGACTCATTCTACTCACCCCTAAGGGCTTAACTTCCTCCACTATGGGATATGACCGCTGGGCATTTTAACACAGGACCAGACAGGTATGACCACTGTGCCCAACTCTGCCACTGGTCTGAGGGATGATGTTACTGATGCTCTCCACCAAGACAAAATTAAACCAATCTCCCCAAACAAAACCAGAAGAAAACCGAAGCGGCACATGCAGTATTTGAACAAAACCTAATGGGAATAAACTATGGTATACCCACATTTTAGTGGTGATGCACTTGACCTTTCCCTCTAGTCCCTAAGGTCTGAGCTCTGTGCAAGGAGGGCAGTACAGGTGCCATCTATGCAGGCCGGTGGATATTCTTCCCAGAGTACCTTTTACAGTTTTAAAAATGCACTAGGCACTAAGCAATGCCTTTAAAGAGCAAGAGGACTCACTTCTTGCGCCGGCGCCCATACAGCTCCCGCCTCAGCTCTCTGGAGATGGGCTTCAGGTGCATGAAGTTGCAGAAGCCGCCTCGAGTGCACTCTCTGTGGGTCAGAGCAGATGCTGTTACAATGTGCACACACTGGAACGCGCTCCTCTGACATGTGGCCCCCTCCCACGTGTGCCCCACACTTACCCCATTTCATACTGGCGGCAGCAGGCTTCCCTGAAGTCAGTCACCGGGGACAGCTCTGCATGGATTGGCTGCCCATTAAACCAACGGTTATTCAGATCAATCACAGCCTTCTCTGCATCCTCCTCACGGCGAAACTGAAAAGATGGAACAAAAACTCTCAACCCTCACATCTTAGTAACACACTTTCAGTTACTCTCCTACTGTGTATTATGTGTGCACATAGGTAAAATAATTATACTGGAATGTTGTTCTGTAACAAATGAAAAATCAGCAAATTCTTTACAATTAGGTTAACCTCAGAATAGTCCAGGGTCATGCTGAACATTGTTTTCAAATTCAATTGATGAAAGATGATTGTTTAGGCAATGAATTCTATTAAAAACAAAAACAAATAAACCATGCAGAGGCTTACTTATTCCTAGTCCCAGCAGTTCTAACCACAGCCATTAAAATCTGCACTGAAGTGATGACCAGTGCACCATCCTCCTCCTCAATGCTAGCACTAGGAGCAGGCCACAGCAGGACCCAAAGACACATGCAGCTAGAAGAGCACCAGGTCACCCTACATCCAAGTGCCCAGGTCCTGAGCTTCAGGACCACAAGGGTGGTAGCTCTAAGGCACTCACTCTGCACACCACCTTGTCCGTACCTTGACGTACACGTTCCCTACTAGGTGGTCTCCCAGGTTATCACAGACATTCATCTCCTCGACTTCTCCGTACTTCTCCTCCATCTCTGTAAAGACTTCCTGAAGAGAGAACAGTGGGTTAAAGACCACCATACGGCCAAGGTAAAAGTGTCACCAACATGACTCATGAGCGCCTACTGGGGACAAGTGTTAGCTCCTCCCATCAGACACAGGTGGACAGGCTGCTCTGTCCGCAGTCTCACCTCAAAGAACTCATCATAGTGCTCCTGCATCTCCACGTCACTCACGGCACCTGTAAACAAGAGAGATCTTGCTGGTTAGAGCCCGGCAGCCAGGGTGCTTGTCCTTATGCTCACTGCTAGTGACACACGACTGTCTAGAGGACACCAGGCCACAGCTGCACACTATAGCAGCACCAACCTGTTCATGACTTGGAGTGCCAGTCTCAGCTCTGGTTATTAAGGTCACGCCAGTTTGAATCAGCACCAAAAGGGCCACATCTTCAGGAAGGATGAGGAAAAAGTTGACTCTCAAAGGGTTTTTTAAATAAATTTCTTCCTTTTCAGATTTAGAATAGAAGCTAAGCAAGCACACTGATTTCCCCTTTGTCAGGTTAAAATGGAGGCTGAAAGCAGGGTAAATGATTAAGAACTTATGCGCCTGACTAGTTTCCTTTACATACTGCCAGCCGAAGAATGCTAGAAAATTCTTTCTGATATGATTAAAACCCAAGACTCAGTGGAACAATTGCCAGGTACAAGCTTCACTACTTTGGATTCTCTGAATAAGGAAAAGTTAGAATGCTTTGAAGACAGCATTCTTATTTTATATTCCGTAACTTTCTCATCAAGTTTACTCTTTGTAACTCACAAGCAGTAAGGGAAATCATGCACTCTGCACGGCTCATTTTGTAAATTTACATTTGATTCCCATCAAATCTACCAAATTTTACTGTTCAAACTCTACAGTTCTCTTAATCTAAGCCTCAGAACTCACAAAACTGGTATTTCAAGAAATCCATGGTCCAAAAAGCACGTTGGGAGCTGGTCACCTGATGGGCTTTGAGGTTTGGCTGGCTTGTCTTCAACTGTCACCTTCTGTGGGCTACATTCCTGGATAAGATATGAGCCCCAAATCCTGGCTGCCTCATTTGATGCACCTCACCAATGGCATCTGGCTGGATATGCAGACTGGACTGCCTGGGAGCTCACCTGAAACCCTTTTTATCTTTGAAGAACGCTAACTTATCTTCTGATTCTGACAATGACTTTAGTTCCCTTTTAGTTATTTTGAACTTCCTGGAATACAGTTTGCCTTAAAATCCAAAACTTACTGAATGGATTGGATTAAGCAACAATCACTACTCCTGACAGCCAGCCTGTCACTGTTATGACAGGTTGTCCAACTCAGTGATTTTTACCTCCCTGAGTAAAAATTAGGTTACAGATAACAGAAAGGCTCGTACCAAAGGGAAGATTTTAACAACTAAAACCCATTTCCTTTTCTGTATCAGAAAAAATACATATTCAAAAGCTTTAGCAGCTTTTTTTTTTCCTTCAGTACTGGGGTTTGAACCTCACCTCACACTTTCTAGGCAGATGCTCCACCACTTGACCCATGCCCCAGATCTTTATGCTTTATTTTTCAGACAGGGTCTCATGTGTTTGCCTAGGTGGGTCTCAGACCACACCTCCTACCTATGCTTCCCATGTAGCTGGGATGAGGATCTCACTAACATTTTGCCCAGGCTGGCCTTGAACCGAAATCTTCCTGCTCTCCTCCTGGGATTCTAGGTGTGAGCTACCGCACCTAAGTTTTTGTGGTGGCTATTTTAAACTACTGGCTACAATCATTCTACTTAGTTTTTTTCACCAGTCAAAGTGACCGGAAAGACAGAGATCAGTACATTAAAATACTGATCAAAATAGAAAATTACTTAAGTGACTATATATTTTAAGTAATACAACTTGAAAATTGACCAGTTTTCTTACAGAATTCCTATCCTTATGTCAGGATTCGTATTTAACTTTTATCCACACATATGAAGTTCCTTTTTCTATTAATGTACATTTATTATACAAAGGAGTTTCACTGTGGTATTTCTATGTATGCATATAATGTATTTTGATCAAATTTACACCTTCTACTTACTCTTTCTTATTGAAGCTTATTTTTCTACATGTGAAAGAGTACATTAAAGAAGTCACTGATTTTATTTAGGTAAGTGATTTTCTTTCTAAAAGGCATAATTAGAATTTCATTGATTTTGTACCATCTAAACCTCAGAATTGGAAGATCTGGTAGTAGCTAAACTTTTAGTTCATAGTATATGCAAAAAAAAGTATGAGACACAAAGACAAACTAATACAACATTCTGTCAATGAAGCACTCAGAATCCCCAAGTGAACAACCAGGGTGAAGAATTATTAATAACTGTTACTCAGCCATCTATTTTTTCATTTCTTTTAATCCCAGGGGCAAGGTTGTGAACACAAATTATTCAGTAAGTCCATATATAAACACTTTCCTCCACCTACTGGCTGTATTTCTATTAAACCAACCATCCAACAAACAACAACAAAAACCCCAGGTATTTTTAAACCAAGGATTACCAAGTAAATGCTACCATCAGGTTCAAAGAAGGAAATTTCTACTAACAAGTCAGTATTTATACCAAAAAACATTTAGCATCTCAACTGGAAGAATTTATAAAAAAACAAAACAAAACAAAATAACCCCCCCCCAAAAAAACCCCCAATAATGAAAAACTCCTCCACTCCCATATAGAAATAGGCACCTGAGGCCTCCCAACCTGGGGCCAGCTGGCACTGGCTGGGGGTACCTGGGACAATTTACCCAGGATCACCCTCTAAACTGAGGGGTTCCAGCTCAGGGATGTACTTGATTTAAGCCTGTGGCTATCCAAGGGTGGCTCCATTTACTGCTTTGAAACAAACCAGTGAATGAATGATTAGTCTTTACCCTTTGGTTTGCACTCCTCATTTTAACATGAGTCCAGGCCTTCATTTCGATGTATCCACAAATGACAACATTCCAAGGATTCTACTGCCAGACAGTTAAAAATTGTATCTTTGATTTCTGAACTTTCCAGTGACAGTAATCGTATTCTGTTTCCAAAAACTTTCACTCCATCAATATTCACATTTAAATCTATTTATTATTTCCCAATAGAGGAGGAAACTGGTGACGTCCACTGAACGCCAGGACAGACCTGCTTTCCCACCACACATAGATACCCTGTTTCCCAAAAGCAGCACACTAAATCCGAGGTTGGAGATCTTATCTATGCAAAGCAGGAGGCTCAAAACTGTTTTGCCAAGCCAAGTACGTATCTGACCTGAGCCACCTGCAGGGGCTGGCGGGAAAACGGGTTGATGCAAGCTGCAGACCCTCGTCTGGGAAATACCCAAAAAACAAGGCTCTCACCATTACAGTGTGACCTCCAAAACGGAGCTTGGGAAAAATCTAGTAAGAAATAAAATCTGAAAAATTTCAAAACAATGTGTTTCTGAGAGTTCCGGAAGGTGAGAGAAACGTTCAGATGCTGCTGCTCTTCGGAGGGAAGAAAAGAACTCAAAGTCAATCCAAGGTGCATCCCCCAGGAAGACGTCCAAGTGAGGAGGAAAGAGCAGCAGGTCCGAACAGTTTCCAGGGTGCCCTTGCCAGTCACTGTCATCCTTTGAATAAGGGGCAAGAGTTCAGATCTCCAACAGAGGTGGGTGGGACAAAAGCTCCTGCCACCTCTAGTGACACCAGCACAGCAGACCAGGTGGAGTGGACACTGAGCTCTGACACGCAAGCCCAGGGAACCAGGGAAGGAACTTGTATGAACTTACAGCGCAAACCGTCAGCAGACTGGGAAGAGTTTTGAGGGTTACGGTAAATGTTCAAGAGGGCAATGGTCTGAAATACAAAACGCAACAACTTTATATTACGGAAAATTAAATGTAAACACTTAACCGGCTGCCTTTGGCGATCGCTTCAGTTGAGAGTCAGTGCTGAAAAAAGAGCAGGTTATTTGTTCAGAGCAGAGGTGTTCCCTTAGTTGGTGGCTGTCTTGAGCTACCCTAACGCTGCAATGCAATGAGATCTCATGAGATGTCAATATTGTACTCCCGTACAGCGTGCGGAAACTCTCCACTTCAACATGCCAGTCCAGGGAGAGTGCCAACGGCTTCTTGCCAGGCGACTACCAAAATGTTTTTAGTTCTAACAGAAAACTTCATGAACGGAAAAAGAAAAGTGCCTCTAAAAAAGGATGAAAAAAGTGCTGTATTAGAGGAATACAATAATTACATGTCATGAAATCTCCACTTCCTAGAGGAAAAATTGTAATGGTGAAATAAAACCCACACTTATTGGGCAACTTACCTTATTGACTCCTGAAAATTCCTATCATTTTAAATTTTACAGAAAGAACTTAATAAAAGCCAGGGTTCAGTCACTGTAAAGGCCAATGAGTGGCTAGTCATGTTAAAACCCATTTCGCATGGACGGACACCCTTATGACATGTCAGTCAGTCAAAGTGTCCGGCCAGTGATTTCCCTAAGAGAAGAGCCTCCTGAACCTGGCCCATATCAAGTTCTGGCTGTGTGCATCACGCAGTTCCAGCACCTTGTCCTGTTTGCAACAGCTCTATGTCAGCAGCTCAGAGCCAACGTATTTCTCAATTAAGAGTGGGCTCTTGAACACCATTGTTTTAAAAAAATTTCTCCAACTGTGGGACTTACAGTGTGAGCCGTCAGCCGTCTGTGCACTGTTTTGGGGATTACGATAGATGTTTTGAATCAAGATGGTCTGCGGGGAAAAAAAAATAAAAAGGGGAATTCTACTGGCTGCTGTGCATATATTAGACAATTGCAAAGAGACAATTTGTTTGCAAATGGCTAAACGCTTGTTGTCTTTCCCGCAAGTCAGACACCGTCTTGTGCAGAGTACACCAAACCATCATATTATGAAAACAGAGTTTGAGCAGTGACTTGGGCCAAGTCAGCCAGCAACCAAGAAGAAACTCTAACTATTGTTTTGAGTGGTCCCAAGGATCATAGTAAAGCGCTTTAATACAAGATAAGCAACAGAACACTAACATTTTCTTGTACTTCAGCCAGCAGACACCAAGATGTCGAAAAATTCACATTATAATCATAGTCCCCACGCAAAAATTATTTGTCTCAACCAAATGCATAACTCAACTGTATGCAGTACATCAAGTTCTCTGAAAAACAGGCACACCAGTTGTCATGGATACCTGACTCTTATTTACACTTTCTTGGTGGGATCTCTGTTTACATAATACAATAGTTAAAACATTTGCTCTTTTCCGATCCTTCTTTTAAGGAAAAAAATCCTTTTAGCCCTTGTGCTTTAAACTGGATCAGGCAGACTTGAAACCTTACACTGTACCGTTCTTCTTAAAATCAAGTTGTCTGAAAAAACAAACCATGTTTAAGTTAGTAAGCTAATATATTACATGAATCTTAATGTCCACATCACTGAAAGAAGTTTACAAGGAAACCCACCCTACATTATGCTAGAGATTTGCAAGCTGAGCCAATACACTGCATGATTTACAAAAACAAATGTCCCATCTCAATAGCATGGGTATCAAGAAAGCAGTTTCTAAGCGTTTTGCAGATCCATACAGCTCCTCTTTGAGCTGTGATTAAAGGACATGGAGTGAAGACAGCTCCCCATCCACAGTCTGCTGATGAAACCCACTTTGGGAGGAAGGGCTGAGCACCAGACTGCACACCCTGAATCACTGGACTAAAGTAGCCACCTCCACGCTGGGCCTAGTACCCTCTCTATTCATGAACTCATCATCTCAGACCTCAGAGGTTCCCCAAAGCTGACTGAGTTTCCTCAGTTTTCTACTGAAGTCGTTGGGTGTGTCAATATTGATGACAAACTAAGTGGAGTACAGCTGTTCAGCAACTTACTGCACGTCTCCCTCAGGTAATCTGGCAGGGGCTTATATAGTAGGAAACTTCATTTAAACAGGTGGTGTGGTTCCATTAAAATCAGAGGTGGTTGGGATTAACTCCAACCAAACAACCCAAAATAAGATGCTTAACACATACTACTGCCCCATCAAATTTTAATGGAACACCTTGCTCTGGCCCACAGTGCTCAAATTAACTTCACTTAAACTCAGGCAATTCATGATTGAGAATGAAACAAATGCTTTTCGCTTGTTTAAAAGATACTCTTACAGTAGGGAACAGCTTCTCTTCTTAGCCCAACACCTCCTAAGCTTATCAAGAACAACTCCCATCCCCATCCAAGACCTGGGCAGACCCTGAAAGTGTTCAGTTACCTCCACACGATCTAGGATCACTGGTTTAGTTGGAGACATGTAGTCATTAACCACTCAGTAATCAGGAATAATGGAAAAGAAAAGCCATGATGTTCTTCCTTCTAAAAACATATTGTGAAGTTTCCCAGGGGCTTTTTCTTCTAGCTCACTTATACTAACAGGCTAATTTTAACTTAGTAAAAGTTATGTTTGGTCTGTGAAGATAAAACATGTGAATAGAAAGATGTGTGATCAAAGCAGAGCCTGTCAGCTTCCAGGGTTAGGTGCACTAGCTACCCATGAGGTCAGAGCTGCACAGATTCAGGGCTGGCAAGGAGGAGGTGGAACTCTACAGCTTCATCTAGAAAGCCTCAGGGGCAGACGTTCCAAAAATCCCACATGTTCCCTTACTCTTGGGGCAGCAGCTTTTTGCTCCTATTAGAGGTGCCTTTTCCCTTCAGCTCACCATGAGCTCTTGCTTATCAAAAATCACAATTTTGGATTGAATTTAACCTATGACAGACTAAGCCCAAGATAACAGGCATCTCCCAATTATGTGAACAGAACTGCTATGGACAATTTATGCACGACTATCTCTTCTGTTTAGTTTCATTCTTAATCTTTCCATGACATGATTCAACCTGTTGTTGGCTCAACTAAGGGTGTGAAAGTGGGGCCATCCCTGAGGTACTGGAGAAACCACAACATGACGGGTCTGCTAACAGCTGTGCCGGCCTCCTTTGTCTGGTGCTTCCATCACTCTAGTGCTTGGAGGGAACAAGGAGCAGCACCTGCATGCACAAGTGCTGGAATAGTGGCTGCCCTGCCCCACGCAGGCCTGTCAGGGGAGGGAGGAGGGCAGGGCAGTGAACTTCAGTTGCAGCCAACATACAAGCATTCAATATTTATTTTTAAAAAGTTCCTCTAATAATAAGAATAGGGAGTGGGACCTCCCACTGGGGATAGGCCATCTACTTCATTCTCATTTAAACCAAAGAACACACTTATGAACACAAATGCAAAATAAAACTACTAGGGGACAAAAAGATTTGGTTTTAGCCTGAAAAAAGTACGTGGAGTTGATAATTTACATGAAAACGAAAAAGAAAAGAAAAAACAAACCTGGCTAAAGGTCGGTTTATTGTGCAACCGAGAACATCTGTCTCCATGACGACATGCTCCAATTTTGAAATAAAATGAACAGTTGACTCTGCAAGGGAAAAAATAAGAGCTGATTATTTTGCTGGGAAGATATCATTAACATAATAAAGATTCTGAAACTACTTTCAAAAGCAATTCTTTTTTTTAAAAACTGGAAGTACCTTCCTCTTCCTTGCAATACTTCTGGATGACTTAACTTTAATTTCCCCCTTCTACAAACACGCTACTCTTTCAAAGAAGATCACTCCGATTTTAACCTGATTTCTCCTCATTCAAATCCCCCACTCCTTTCTTTTGCAGTACTGAGGTTTGAACTCAGGGCCTACAACTTGAGTCACTCCACCAGCCCTTTTTCGTGATTCTTTTTTTTCGAGATAAGGTCTCGAACTATTTACCCTGGCTGGCTTCAACCTCTGCCTCCAGAGAAGTTAGGATTACAGGCGTGAGCCACTGGTGCCCAGCTCCCTCCATTTTTAATGTACACTTTCTCTGCTATGTTTTCTTAAATGAAATATTAGTTTAAAACTACTTTTAACTTAAACCATATCACATCTTTGTTTTTTCTGGTGAACTTCTGTCTTAAAGACACCAGCACAACGTAGTGAGGAGTGAGACCCTGACTACCAGCTGGATGGGCTTGGGCAAACCAGTCCACCTCTCTGGGTCTCAGATGCCATCTGTAAAATAGGAAAATGTCAACCTGGCACTGTTCCAAGAATCAGACACGTGTGGTTCATTCACAGGGCTCAGAGTCCAGGTTTTCTCTAGACCTGGTCATGGCATCAGACAAAGAAGAAATTTCCAAAAAGGTCTGACGCAAACTTCTCTTGGTTTCAATACACTGGCTGTTAGGAGATCCAGCAAGTCTTAGGAACTATCTAAGAATCATGTCTGTCTCTACTGCAAAGCCACCCTAACACTGTTCAAACACTCTAATGATGCTATTAAATAAAAATCAGCACCTGTGTGACAGTGATGCCAGGTGGCCTGGCAGATCTGTGATGCGTTATGAAATTTTAATAGATGACCCCACTCAAATTTCATCTTACAGAGGTGGGAGTGATATTCTGTAGGTTTAGTTATTTTTAGCAAGAGTCGTATGTTTAGGCAGTCAACCCAGAGTTAAGATTAAAAGCCTCAACCTCAATGAAATTTGATGGACCATGAAGGTCAGTTAGTCATTTATTTATCAGGCAGCAATAAAGATGAGAAAGTTTGTGACTTTATCAGGAGAGGAGAATGATTACTATATGTAATCTGCAAACTTACAGGTCTTACTTTAGATAACCTAACTCAATTAGACAATAACATATCTTTAGAAAGCCAACTGAAGCTGATGCCTGCGGCTCACGCTGTAATCCTAGCTACTCAGAAAGCAGACATCAGAGAATCACAGTTTGAAGCCAGGATGGGAAAATAGTTTGCAACACCCTACCTTGAAAACACCCATCACAAAAAGGGGCTGGTGGAGGGACTCAAGGTGTAGGCCCTGAGTTCAAGCTCCAGTACCACAAACACACACACACACACACACACACACACACACAAAAAGTCAATTGAAGATGAAGTGCTTATTTAAAAAAAAATCTCAGAATGAACAAAAATTTGCCTCATCAATTAACATTCAACTATTCTGTAAGTAAAACCATCCACGTTTCTGTACTTCCAGCAATGGCTTTTGTTCCAGGCAGTTAATTAGAGTTTATCAGCGTAACCAAAACTTCTGGCAATAAACATCAATGATCTGTTCATTAAACTACTGAAATAAAATGAAAAATCTAAGAGAAAGAGTGCAGTGTCACAAACAAGGTATTAGAAAGGCTAATCTATGCTGGAACTAGGAAATGTCCATAACTGAAAATGTGGAATGAGCAAAACCTTTTTTAATTAGTAGAGACCTACATTTTTACTTCAGCTTAAATTTTAAAAAAAATTGAAAAGGAACTAACCAACACTTCATTTTTTAGGAGTTGATTTTGTTTCTTGGAGCTAAAATTCTACATTCCCCTGAAATGAGAACATAAGTACTCTAGATTAAATAATCTACTTTCTCAATTACAATCACAGTTTTGTGCTAACAGGTAGAAATTAAGTTATTTATAGTGGAATATAAGAAGTGACTCCTCCAAAGCAGGAGTTTTGTAGGGTAGTAGCAAAGAAGACACTACATACAGCGTGTCACAAGACACCACACACAAATGTAAGTGGAAGGCTGAGACTACTGACGCATCTGATGCTGCATGTGTAAAGTCTTCAACTCAAATGTGTAAATCTCTTTCTGGAAGCGGTCTCCTACTCATTCCAGAAGATCATACACGTGAAGTCCTCCTCCCAAGCCCCCTCTTCTGTGAGTGACCTCAGCACTTAAGAGTGTATTTATTCTTCCGCAGCACTCAATCAGACTTTAAGGTATCTTAGCTATCTTTAACATGACATACACCCTCTTCTCCCATGAGTTCCCTGAGAACAAGACCCAAGAGTCCTAATCTTTGAGTTCTCAGACTGGCTTATAGTCAACACTCAGTAAATGTTTCTAGAGTGCCTACTATGACTGTTGATTTTGGCAATGGGTTTTTAGACAGAAATATATCCCCTCGTCCAAACAACACAGGAGATCCTATCATGTGCAAAGAAGACACTTGGCAGGACAGACTCTTTCCTGGAAAACAGAAATACTTTCAACAGTATGACATAAAAAGTATCATCAGTGGCAAATTCAGGGGCTTATCGTTGCAAACAGCTACTTGTATAAGCCTGGTATGCCACCAAGAATACCGAGACGGTAACTACTTACTCAGAGAGCAGACTAAGCCAGACGCTTAGTCTTTAGGTTTTCAAAGTAGGAATTATCCCGCAAAGCGTCTGAAGACATTTCCTTTAGCCTAAACTTCAGCCAACACGTTGGAAATTAATACTTGCCAAGACGGCAAACACAAGTGAAATGAAACTGTTCTGAGTTTTAACTAATCGATCAGGGAAGGCATACAACCTTACGAAAGAAAGCGAAGCCAAAACAAGAAACTCAACCCCGGAACACCCTTTCCCTCATACTGGCTCGCGGTTTGCAGGGTTCTAAAGCAGGTTCCTCCTTCCGGCTGGACGGTTAATCGGGTCCGCACACTTTCTCATGTCTCACGTCGAGGTCCTGAGAGCGCGGCCCGACCGTCGCCCAGGCAGGCAGGAGGCTTACCCAGGGGACAAAGCCCAACAACCAGCCCCTAAGTTACCCAGCGACTGAACATATTGGCGAGGATGGGGCCGGAGCTTGTCGGACACGACACTAAAAGCCGAAAGTTGGAGGAAACCTGTTAACACCGGCGAGGCCCAGACCCGTCAGGCCACTTGAGCACAGCTCGAGACGCCCCTGGAAGGCACCGAGGCGCGGGAGGCCCGAGGCGAGGAGGCCCAGTCGGGAGCGGCCCTCCGGCTTTCCCCACCCGCCCGCCGCGCGGCCCACGAGGCGGCGGCGCAGAGGCGCGCGAGGCCGGAAGGACCACCGCTTCTTCCCGCCGCGCCTCTTCCCCCCGTCCGGGCCTCCCCGAGCCCCGCCTCCAGGCCGCCGCCCCAGCCCGAGCCCCGGTGGACAACTCTTACTCACTTGTCTTTCTCGGTGCCGAAGATGGAGGCCAAGTACTCCGCCATTTTCCACCGGCCGCCCCCGACACGGCCGCCGACGCCGCCAACCCTGCCGACGCCCGCAGGCGACGTCACCGGACGCGACGACGCTCTCCCCACCCGACGTAGCGGCGTTGTCCAATCGGACGAGGCGCTGCGTGCGTGGGGGGGCGGGACTCAGTGCGTGCGGAGGCTCCGCCCCTCGGCCGTGGTGCCAGCGCGCCTCCTGCTGGAGTCTGTGAGCAGCGCTCGCTCTCCGCTGGGGCCCGTTCTTCGCGCCTTCCGCGTGGAGGGGCTTTTCTGAGGCGCCCCCGCGTGGTGAGATGCGCTGCGCTCAGAAGCATTCGGGCGCGGGTGCAGGGACTTAAGGGAGCTCCACCCCGCACTCCTTTGGCCTGGCACTGCCAGCTCCAGTCCCATTCACTACATCCCTACCCGGTGGGATCTCCAGCTGAGTGGGACCCCCAGACCTCCCCTCCACTCCCCCCCACTTCTGTTGGAAGAGACGCGAAGGCTTCCCCTTCTTTTGGCGGTATTGGGGTTTGAACTCAGGGCTTCGCACTTGCTAGGCAGGTGCTCTACCCCTTGAGCCATGCCCCCACCCCCTTCCTGGCATTCGTGTCCTGTGGGAACCACCCCCTGTGTCCTTGCTGTGGCCTGCCCAAGGCCACCCAGAGATGTGGCTGGAAGGCCAGTGACCTTCTGGGACACCCACTCAGTCCCCTCAGGGCCAAAGTGGAACCCTTCAGTAGGAGAGATTTTAATCCCATGATGTCATTTTCGTCAGGTTCCCACAGTCGCCAACACGCCTTCATGTTACCTCATTTCCCGTCTGGCTGACCTGCATGGTTGGATAGCAAGACAGACAGCCCATCTACTCTTACCTCCTCCAGGTCCAACCCAGGCTTGAGGGGCAGGACATGGGGTCATGTTGGTGTGAGGGCTTTGCCTGTTAGGACAGCATCTCTCTGGCTACTTCAGGAAGGACTACATCAGCAAGCTGGAACCTGCCAACAATTTGGAAGAGGAGAGTTGAGACCAGAGACTGAACAAGAGTGATGAAGAGTGACAATAGTCTGGTAGTTGTGATCTGCCTGTGGTGTAGCAGCAGGACAGTGCCCAGGAAGAAAGACTAATGGGGAGTGGGGAGCTGGGCCTCTGCTGTGGAATTCCTGGAGGAAGGTAGGAATGAGGTCTGAAATGGGAAGTGAACTAAAATACAAGGCTCTCACAAGGAGTTAATCTGGCTACTAGAGCCAGAGTAGATGATCAGACCAGGGCCACAGCAACCATCC